GAATCAAAGAAAGAAAAGTCAAATGAGAGACAAAACAGGAAAAAATAAAATATTGAGGGAAAGAAGGAATAAAATCTGTGACTATTTAAGGTTTAAAGAGGTAGTCTGAGAGGTTATGCTTTGGTTTAACTGGAAACTCTGCTGTATTTCACACCAAAGAAGAAGAAGTGTTTTCTTCTGTGATATATTTCACACTCCAGCAGCTCGTCTGTCCTCACTTTCAAAACCCAGTGTTTCCAACACTTCCACTTCCTGTCTCCGAGTCTGCTGTTGCTGTGGAAACTGTGGACAGTGCCCAGGTACACCACAGAATCCAGTTTCACACCCAATGGTCCAGAACAGACCCAAAAACCTGTCCTGGGGAGGGTGCTGCAGGAAACACCAGGTTAATCTTCAGAGGAGCAAAGCCCAGGATGGCCATACATGATGTAAGCATATTTCATGTAAACAGAGGGAAGTTTTCTGCATGACTGCCAGCCTGAAGGAAAAGTTCAGAGGAGTCCATCAGAGTCAGACCTGAGAGAGTTTTTACAAAGACTGATCCCAGAAACTGAACAAAATGGAGGAAAAAAAATTAAGCTTCATCCTACAGCTTGCTGCTTCTGCTTCACTAATAATTTCTTAAAAACAAATTGAAATGTTCTTGCAAACATTCATGTACTGTAGTTTGTCCACTTTTATGCAAGCAAATAATAACTGTGAAGATTTTAATCTAATCTAATCAATTAAATGTCTGACTGTGTTTAATCACCACTGAATATTTAATAAACTTATTAGACTGAAATGTTTTATTCTGGAATCAAGCTGAAATTAGATTCAATTCAATATGGCGGATGCAACACCAGCACGTGCACCTGGAGCTCCCGTGTTCGCTAAAGGTCGTCTTAAACCGGAGATCTATACAACAATAGATGGCAAACTTATAGTTGAGGATGCGTTTCTATACTTCCTCTGCAAAAATAAGAACTTTAAATCAGGATGAGATAGTTTTGTTGGCAGTTAATGCCTTTGATACGGAGTGGATTGAGGCCTCCAAGAAAACGCTCTTTGAAGTCTGTGTCACTACACAGCGTAATGTTTCTTATAAAGGAGTGCATAAAGATGCTAACAATGTTAAGGCATGCCTCAAGGTATTGAATGAATGTGGGGAGGATATCCCTAGATTTGTGTCTCATTACTTAGATGAGCTGCTACCAGTGACTTTCACCAACATGGACGTATGCGGTCTGCTTCGCAAAATGGAGCATCTTCACGCCAAAATTATTGCTATGAAGCAAGTTGCTCACCTGCAAGCCAAAGCTAGCAAGGGTCTGCGGGCCGTTGCGGCGGATATGAACAAGCGGGTGTGTGCGCTGGAAATGCACGCAGGCCAGGGTAGCGTGTCGTTGGACTCGGCGGAGGCTAACAGCACTGATTCCGTGACAGGTGAGAGGAGGGATGTTGTGTGTGGCCTCAAAGTGACTGAGGGTCAGGTGCTTCCTGATGTGGATGGAGCTGCCCTGGTGGAAGGCTCCAGTGGAGCAACACCATTGCCCGAGTCACCAATGTGGAGCTTGGTTGCGAAACGGGGTGAACGTCAGTTAAGGAAGCAGACTCTTGCCAAGCCTGCTTCTTGTGTAGGTACAACCATGGCCGGTCGGAGAAAAGCTGGCAAATCTGTTGTGGGCACAGGATCAGCTGGAAACATTAAGATGATTAAAACTAAGCTGGTCAGTGTTTTTGCATCTAAATTTTCACCTGATTTGGAAGCTGAAGCGTTACGTGCTTACTTAAGAGATAAACTTGGGCATGATGTTACATGTCTCAAAATTGTTACAGGTAACACCAGGTATGCCTCCTTTAAAGTATCTGCTGAATGTAACGAAGTAGATAACATGTATAATCCGGAACTATGGCCGGAGGGTACCTTTGTGAGGTGTTATTATGAGCCACGCAAAACTCCGGGTAAGGCTCATGCTGCTCTTTCTACTTGCGCCGGGATTTCTCTCAGTGCCAATGCAAGCTCAAGCCAATAAAAAATATGGTACTTAATGTAATATCATACAACTGTCGTGGCCTACGCTTAGGCCAGAGCGCAGAGGTTAAAGCTCGCCGCATTGTTGTCGATAAGCTGTTAGAACAATGTGACATTTTGTGTCTGCAAGAGACATTCCTTGCTAAGCAGGACTTAAATGGTCTCGTCTCCAATGATGATGGCTTCCTCGGTGCCGGGTAATCAACTACAGACCTTGGACTCGGTATCAAGAGAGGAAGAATTCCTGGAGGTGTGGCTATCCTGTGGTCTAAGAGGTTGGATTCAATGATTAATGTGGTCAGGCTTGATGTGGACTGGTGCATTGCAATATGCCTGATTCAGGACAATAAGGAACTGGTGATTTTAAATGTGTATGTAGCCAAAATGAGGAGGAGTATTTGAATAAGTTGGCTTTTATCAGCTCTTTTATACAGAGTGAGGGGCTTACGAGTGTATATATTGTGGGCAATATGAATGCAGATATCTCAGACAAGAACTCTGTTTTCGCGAAGCATATGGTGCATTTTTGTGATGACAACAATCTGATTCTATACATATATAAGTGAGGCCTGGCATACAACACCATGGCTAGACCACTGTATTTCGACAGCTGGTGCACATGCTGCTTTGGAGAATATCTCCATTTTATATAATATGTCTATTTCTGACTACATTCCTGTAAAGTTGGCCATTAGATTTGATTTTATACCTATTTTAATTCAGACTAACCAAAAGCATGAAAGGTTGGATTGGTCTACTCTTTCTGCAGAGGATCTTGCTTGTTACTGTTCTGACACTGATAAACAGTTACGTGATATTACTGTACCTAGAGAGGCTGTGATATGTACGGACTTTAACTGTACTGCTGTTAGCCACAAAGCTGATATTTCTTGCATGTATTCTATTATTATTCAGGTGCTGATAGAGGCTAGTTTGCCTTATTATGAAAGAGGCGTGAAAATTAAACCTGGGTGGAGCACTTATGTGGCTGTGGCTTATAGGCCCATATCTGGTAAACCCAGATATGGGCCTATATTTGAACTTAAAAAGCGTACAAGTGCAAAATATAAGTATGCTATATGATTTATTACAAAAAATGAACAAAAGCTGAGGTCTGATTCTATGGCTGAAAACCTCCTAAGGAATAATATGAAATCATTCTGGAAAGACGTTAAACGTATTAACAGTAGTAGATTTTCTATACCCCATACTATTGATGGAGTTTCTGGCCCGGATACGATAGTTGAGCTCTGGCGACACCGCTACTGCGATCTATTTAATTGTGTCCCTAATGAAACTTCCTCTATAGGTAGGGTTGACTTTGTCAGGAAAGGTGGGCAGCTCAGATAATTATAGACCCATTGCACTTGCTAACATACTTTCTAAAGTTGTTGAAGAAATTCTCTTGAGTAGGTTTCATAATCTTATTGGCTCTACTGATAATCAATTTGGGTTTAAAGCCAATCATGGCACTGATATGTGTATTTTTGCTTTAAAAGAACTAGTCAGTAAATATAAAAGTAAAAATTCGACCATATTTATGTGTTTTTTAAATGCTTCTAAAGCTTTTGATTGTGTGAATCTTAGGAAGCTATTCCAGAAACTGTGTGACACTCAAGTTCCTAAATATATAGTGAGATGCTTGTCATATTGGTATGCCCACCAGACTATGTGTGTCAGATGAGGTAATTGTATATCTGCACCCTTCCAGACCTGTAACGGGGTAAGGCAAGGTAGTCTGTTGTCCCTGATTTTGTTTAATTTTTATATGAATGGTCTCTCTGAGGAGCTGAATATGTGTAGAACGGGATGTATGGTTGGAGGTATAATAGTGAATCACTTAATGTATGCAGATGATCTGGTGATCTTTAGTCCCAGCTCGGCAGGTCTCCAGCAGCTCTTGGATGTGTGCTCTCCGTTTGGGGAGCTTCACGATGTCAAGTACAATTCTGATAAAAGTGTTATGATATGATGCACAAAGGAGGACGGGTCCCTTGCATTCCCTTTTTTTTAAAGTTATCTGCTAACATTTTAACTGTGTGTAATGAAGTTAAGTACTTGGGTCATGTTATAAATGATTGCTTGTCTGATGATGGGGATATGTATCGGCAGTGCCGCATGTTGTATGCACAAGCAAATGTGTTGGTTCGGAAATTTGGCTCGTGTTCGGATGGAGTAAAATTGACTCTGTTTAAAGTGTATTGTACCTCCCTGTACACTGCACATCTATGGTCTAATTATAAAAAAGGCAGTCTTAGGAAACTGACAGTGGCCTATAATGACGCCTTGAGGTTATTATTGAAAAGGCCTAGATGGATGAGTGCCAATTAATTGTTTGTGGCATCTTGGATCGGTACACTATCTGCTGTTTTAAGAAATTTAATGTATACATTTATTGGTCATTTGAATAGTTCTGGAAACAACATTGTTTTATTGCTGACTAATATTACATATAGTGATATTCGATATACTTCAGTACTTTGGAAACACTGGTATACCTGCCGTTTAAAAAGGTAGTTGTTTATTGGTGGTTGTTTTTTATTGTTATTTATTGCTGACTGTTTTATGGTTTTTATTGTTTTTTTAGTATTTATACATACATCTGGACATTGAGTCTGTAATAAAGTATCTATCTATCTAAGCTGTCTGAATTGACAGGGTGCTAAGTCTGTTCTTTCACATTTTAAAATTGTTTTGCTTCAAAAGCCTTATTATTGTTATTTTTTAAGGTTAATAAATTCAGACAAAAAAGACAAGTACTCAAAAACTACATTCACATTTAATGCACTCAATTTTCAATTTATATCCAGACACTCAAGTTCAAAATATGAAATTCAGACCAGAACATGTGGCCCTCAAAGGTAATCAATCGCAAATCAATCGTATGAAATACAGTATGGTTTGGTATCATAAAATGTCAGTGATATCTGAA